TTAAGCGGTTTAATGAACACGTTATTCAAAGCATATGATATTGACATTACATTGCCTTATATGGTATGAAAATGTATAACTATATCACCTAATAATACATCTGTTTATCCTTATATGGCATTTAAGTAGGGATTCCTTATGAATGGTTACGTCATATCAATACAAATGTACTNATCCTTATATGGCATTTAAGTAGGGATTCCTTATGAATGGTTACGTCATATCAATACAAATGTACTACAGTACATGTGTAACTATTATATAAGATACTTTTTATTTATCTGTCATATACATGTATATTTCATTATACTGTATATAAATATTTATATTTCATTTTTCATTTCGTTATAATATCATACTATTTGGTTGACTGTTTAAATCGCATTCTCATTACACATGGCGTCAAACGATTGTCAAACAAAAAGTTTAAAAGACTTAAAAGCGGGCGAAGAGTTTGATTTGGAGTCCGAGGAACTCATTAGAGAACAGACACCCAATGGTATCAAAGAGCGGTGTTTGCAGTTATGTAAAGATTATTTGTCTCACAATTGGATGCAACATACCGTGGACTCAATACAAGTCCGAACAATACCCGGAAGTTTGAATAATGAGTTATACTATTGTGGAGTCAATGAACCCTCCCTTACATCCACTGCCCCTCAAGAGGTGGTCATCCGATTGTATGGCCGTAAAGTGTATAACAATCTGAATAGTGATGGAAATGAGAGGTTGAAAGATATGAGAAGTGAACGCCTGAGTGATGTGATCACATCTGTGATGCTATCGGAGACACAATTGGGACCAAAAATATACGGACTCTTCGAAGACGGACAGATCCAACACTACTATCAGGTATTGAGCCGTGTATTCAATATCTGTGTGTTTTAAACCCTAATTATTTCTCTATGAATAGCACCGACACTTCAAACTCGAAGAACAAAATAACCTAAAACTGGTTGAGGAACTGTTCCAAAAGATAGCTCGAGTCCACGCCCTCGACGTCCCCCTCCCGAAGAGGCACTGGATCTTCAGAGAGATGGATCTCAACTGCGAGGAGGCGTATAGAAGACCTGCCATTAATGAGATGATTGAAGGGCTTAACTGCGAGACAATCAAAAGTCACGATTTGAAGGCTGAGGTCCAGTGGCTGAAGGATATGAGCGTCAAAATAGACAGTCCTCTCGTGTTTTCACACAACGATTNAAGTCACGATTTGAAGGCTGAGGTCCAGTGGCTGAAGGATATGAGCGTCAAAATAGACAGTCCTCTCGTGTTTTCACACAACGATTTGTTCAGCTCTAATGTATTGGTTTTAGACAATGAGACGGCAACTGGAGATCAGTTAGTTATCTGTGATTATGAATATAGCAGTTATGGGTTCAGGGGAATGGACCTGGGCACCATTATCAACGAATGGGGTCGACTCCGCACTGACATCCTAACTGTGCATACTTTTGCGGACGACTCTGCGATCAAACAATTACTTCAATACTATATCTCGGAAAATGAGATAATCTTCGGAAAGAGTTGGTCTCAAAATCAGATGAATTCAACGGAACAACTGCTAAAAGAAGTGAAATTGTTTGCATTGGTGTACAAGATATTTATGATTTTGTTTTGTCTCAAAGCCAATGATGACTTTGCTATGGATAAAAAGTTGCTAGTACAAATTGCAAAAAATGAATATGAAAATTATTGGCGTATAAAGAATACATTTATTCAACAAAATGCTTTTGATTGACACAAAACTCACCATTTATTAAAAGTTTTTAAAAATATTTTTAATTAAAGTATAAACAAGGTTTTGAGCATTTTATTAAATATACTGTACAGATACTATAATATAGTTTAGAGATATTGACATGATATTTTTGTTTAAAATAAATATATTAATTTTATTTATTTTTTTATTTACTTATTAATATTATTAGTTTTAGGTTGTTTTGAAAACATTAAAAGTGAAATAAATGAACATTACCGTACTTAAAAAATAAGTACCGTAAAATTGGGTTTTATATAATGCTGTCAAATATATATTATTTCAGTGGGAAAAGTTCATTTGAGTCCAAATAACTTCTAATGCCCATAATATTAATCAGTGTATCGCACTCTTTGTAATTAATTATATTCATTACTATAGTAATCATTAATATTTTAATCTACAATCATTAGAATTTATGTGAACTCAAATCAACATTTTCCACCATGGCTTTCAAACTCAAAATAACCAGGATAGATTCATTGAATATAGCTGCTCCAACGATTTTGTAATCAATTATTACGTGACTATATTATTAGTTTGGTTTTAGTGGCGAATTATGTGAAATATTTTAATACAAACCAATTAATAGAAGATAATTACTGCAAAGAATAGCTAAAAATTGGTAAAATTCATAGCTATTCATAGGAAACAAATCCAGGCAATAAAAGCCAATTGCGGGACCGGTGGACAGCCTTTCCATGAATGTCAGTACTTTCAATCTGTCCCTTAGAGATAACACCTTGGTCTTTGTTATAAACAACAACAATGGTTTATACGGTTTATGAGCAGCCTTTGGGATCAAGGTGCTAATCATAGTAGTGCCAAATACAATGCTAAAATTAAATAAGATTATCAATGTAACTACCACCCTGACTAATACATTAATATCCGGCTTAAAGACAAAATACACGCATAACTCAATGCCGATGGACGTAAGATAATAAATAATAAAGGTAATATAACTGAGATTATAGTTTAGGCCCTTGGTTACATTCTCCCAGTAATTGTGTTCGTCGATTGCCCGGAATAGTAAGTCTCTATTTCGGTATTTAATGCACGCGACTATTTTACGGTGTATTTCCAGAAATTTGTACCTGGTATACATGGTGGGCAGGTAGACGATGGTAGAGCCACAAATTACCAGTCCGTACGTTTCCAAGCAAACAATTAGACCCCAAACATCAATACAGAGCATGGTTACTAGTTTAAGGTAGCTTGGTGATCTGAAGTACTCAATTAACACGACACCTGCCACTATGATTAAAGTACCGAAAACTAGGACCAAATATACGTAAACAATGAAATATTTTCGTACCAAGCTCAATATAATGCTTAGCCGTCTAGAGTACATTAGATTCAATGGGTATTTAAATGTGCCATGCTTGATATTGTGCGCAAATGTAATGAGGTACAGCTTGCCGTTTAGCTCATCGTATAATAGCCTTGTTTCAATTAGGACATTTGATACAAATATCAAGCACAACCAAGTGCTGGACAATAAACGGTGGCCAAAGAAGTCGATAATATCAATTAGAAATTTTAGGACACCCGGGTGATATGCAATTATAGCGGTTGAAATTGCGGAACCTACCACCATAAGCCTGACCACAATAAGTTGTACTAATCGCCATGGTGTATAATACCCGGTTTGTATGTGGTCTATACTATCAGCTAATGTCATAAATATATATTTTAGGAAATATTCATACTTGCTCACTTCAGTACAGATATCGCCATGTTTAGCGTAATAATCGCTTAAAGTTTGCCGAAGTTTACTCTTAATTGTGTTCATAATTAATTAGATTTTCATTCAAATTGTATGCTATAAGACAAATGATACTTATACATGCATATAAATCTGCAACATTGATTTTTATTTCAGACTGCACAATGCGTTGTTTTAATAATGCTACGTGTTTAGTTTACTAAAAACTATAACGTATGATTTTGATTTTATTGATTTATGTTGAAATATTCATTTTGTGTTAACGTTTGATGCTATAAATAATAAGATATTTGTGCAATCCAGTACACGTAACACTGTAATTATCTTAGAAACATACTAATTTATTTATTATAGCTATGAATACATTGTTTAAATAATAATTTTTTACATTTACATAACTAAACCTAACATTATTTTGATTTATTTTATTTCATTTTATAATTGCATTATATTTTATAAATGAATTAATAATGTAATTAAAGATGATATTTTAAAATAAAACTTACATTTTAAGCACTTTTTGACAACTATAATTACAAAATATAATTCATAGTATCTAGGATATAATATTTTCATTTTAAACCATAAATATTCATTAAAATTGATTGGTCATTTATTGATTTAAATATGCCATGCCCATTTAAATAAATAAAAGAAATTTAATAATTATACTGTATTAATGAGATGTACGGAAAGTACTTGGACTGGACTTTAGTCGTAAACTAGATCAAATAAAAATAAAATCTGGGATCCCGAGAGGTTTATGCCGGAGAATAGGGACCAATTGACTCCATACACGTATATGCCGTTCGGGACGGGACCCCGAAATTGTGTGGGAATGAGGTTTGCATTAATGGAGGCCAAGACAGCCGTCGCTCATTTGGTCCATAAGTATAGGTTTAAGAGGACCCCCAATACTACTGTTCCCCTGAAGTACACAAAGTTTGATTTTTTCTTAAATTCCGGTGACGTTCATATAGGACTTGAACTGCGAAATAAGTCTTAAGGAACTGTTAATACATTATTTATTATATCTTAAACTCATTTATTGTATTATAAGCTATATTTTATTATTTATTGATTTAATGTCAGTAAATCGTAAACTTTTTATCTCTTAAACATTATGTAATAAATATAATTTGTAATTTTAATTTCATTAGAAAATTATTTTATAAATTAAAATTACTTTAATTCGAGAATATTTATAAAAGTTGTTAATTTAATTTTAATAACTTGTAGACATACAATATGATTTGTATTACCGGTATATAATTGTTTCAAAATAAAATATGTTTACAAGTTTACAAAATAATATTAAAATTGTGAAAATATAAAACCCTGGTTAAATTTTAAGTACAATACTATTAAATATGTTTACAAAATAATTAGAAATATCTAAATGTTCAGTAAGAAATTAACGTTAATTTCATATTGATTTCTAAACTTAGCAAATATTTTGTTTACTTTAATTGAAATTATTTTTAAAACTACTAATAAATGATTAGTTTTGTGTCAATCAAAAGCATTTTGTTGAATGAATGCACTCTTTATACGCCAATAGTTTTCATACTCCTTTTCAGCCAAGTGAACAAGCAACTTTTTATCCATAGGAAAGTCGTCATTCGCTTCATCCATTTTGAGACACAACAAAATTAAATGCATTTTCCAAATCAATGCAAACAATTTCACTTCTTTTAGCAGTTGTTCCGTTGAATTCATCCCATTTTGAGACCAACTCTTTCCGAAGATTATCTCATTTTCCGAGATATAGTATTGAAGTAATTGTTTGATCGCAGAGTCGTCCGCAAAGGTGTGCACAGTTAGGGTGTCATTCCAGAGTCGACCCCATTCGTTGATAATGGTGCCCAGGTCAGTTCCCCTGAACCCATAACTGCTATATTCAAAATCACAGATAACTAACTGATCCCCAGATGCGGTCTTATTGTCTAAAACCAATACATTAGGGCTGAAGAGATCGTTGTGTGAAAACACGAGAGGACTGTCTATTTTGACGCTCATATCCTTCAGCCACTGGACCTCAGCCTTCAAATCGTGGCTTTTGATTGTCTCGCAGTTTAGCTCTTCTATCATCTCATTAATGGCATGTCTTCTGTACGCCTCCTCGTAGTTGTAGTCAATCCTTCTGAAGATCCAGTGCCTCTTCGGGAGGGGGACGTCGAGGGCGTGGACTCGAGCTATCTTTCGGAACAGTTCCTCAACCAGTTTCGGGTCCTTTTGCTCCTCAAGTTTGAACTGTCGGTGCTTTTGATAGAGAAGTAATTAGGATTTAAAATACACAGACATTGAATATACGGCTGAATACCTGATAGTAGTGTAGGATCTGTCCGTCTTCGAAGAGTCCGTATATTTTTGGTCCCAATTGTGTCTCCGATAGTATCAGAGATGTGATGACATCACTCAGCCGTTCACTACTCCTGTCATTCAGTGTCTCATTCGCATCACCAGTCATATTGTTATACAACTTATTGCCATACAATCTGATGGCCACCTCTTGAGGTGCAGTGGATGTAAGGGAGGGCTCATTGACTCCACAATAGTATAACTGATTAGTTAAACCCCCAGTTATTCTTCGGACTTGTATTGAGTCCACGGTTTGTTGGATCCAATTGTGGGCCAAATAGTCTCTACATAACTGCAAACACCGCTCTTTGATATCATGGGGTGTCTGTCCTCTAATGAGTACCACTTTCTCGAAATCAAACTCTTCGCCCAATTTTAAGTCTTTTAAACATTTTGTTTGACAATCGTTTGACGCCATGTGTAATGAGAATGCGATTTAGACAGCGAACCAAATATATGTAGTATGAATGCACAGCACTACTGTATAATGAAATAAAACATAATAAAACAAGTATGACACGATCAAATTTATGTGATAAATAAATCAAAAGTATGTTGTAATAGTTACACACGTACTCTAGTACATTGGTATTGATATGACGTAACCATTCATAAGGAATCCCTAATGTGAATGTGATGCTTAAAAAATTTCAAAAATTACAAACTTCAAATATAATACTACTTTTTATATTAACATTTTAAATGTACTTTATTTTTTAGTAAAATGAAACGGTAATAAATTATTTGACATAAAAATAGCAGCAATATAAGGATTGTTTAAAATTAATTATTAAATAAAACTAGTCCAGCATAATTGGACCGGCGTAACCTATCCCTGCCCCCTTTAGTAGCATATCTGTGTGAATCAGTTGTATATTTTTTGTTTATTTTTATTTGATCTAGTTTACGACTAAAGTCCAGTCCAAGTACTTTCCGTACATCTCATTAATACAGTATAATTATTAAATTTCTTTTATTTATTTAAATGGGCATGGCATATTTAAATCAAT